TCTGTCAAACTGTTTCACTGAAACACCCTTCCTCCTGCTGCAATAGCGCCCTATCCCGCTGTGGTGTTTTTCCTCAACTGAGCTGATAACCATCAACAAGCAAGTGTGAGTTATTGCCTCAGCCGATTTGTCGACGATGACATTTCGCGCTTGCGTTGCATTAGTCGAAATGGAAAGGAGATGATCCGCAGTACCATTATATGCTTTTCAATTTCTTTAATCCGATGAAGAGATTTGAATGTGAAAGCCCCTTAATCATGTGATATCCATTAAGAAAAACTTCGGAAGGAATGTGTAGTCGCGTATCACTTCTTTGTAGCCTTTCCTTTCTGTGAAAATATTACGCAAAATACACCCCCTAGATGTTGATTTGAAGTTTTTATAAAGATCAGGATGAAATTTTGATGATCGTACTCTGAGCTAACCTGCTGCTTAGAAGTATCTTTTGTTTGTTTAATTGATAGAAATAACGATTTCATTGAAGGAACATTTAATAAACTTCAGAAAGGAAGGTCATGTTGTGGATTATGCGCTCAGGTAAATGTTGAGACCCTAATGCCCCTTCCGAAAAACCCCGCGTTCACTCCGAGTAACCTCAGAGGAAAAGTTCGAGTCAAATTGTAATTTGTTCCGATTAATTTCAAGTGCAGCGCAATGTGGCTGGCTGGTCGGTAGGTTTTTCCTCAACGGTTGCGATTCGTCGTGCTGCGGAGCACGGCCAGTGGAAATTGCGTGGTAAGAGAGATTTCCTGGGAGTTTTTCCCGCCTTGTTACATCTCTGAGAATTTGAGCGCCTTCAGTTTGCAACTGCGAATAAAACGATTGGACAGAAAGCTAAGCACTTGCCCTCGTCCGATTAGCTCTCGACAAGTAGCCTGACTGGCTAGCCCGGCAGACCTCGAGGCTTGTCCGATTCTCTCTAAATATTCGGCTTCCTCCCCGATTGCCTTTTTCTATTTACTGCTTTTGTTTTACATGAAATCTATAGGTCTGAAGTGCGGAGATTCGATTTATTAAAAGCCCTTCTAAAATTTTCATGCTGACCAAAATCCTCTCTGGAACAGTCTGGAACTTTTTGGCACCATTCACCTCTACTGCCCGCTCTACGGAATTCGCACCACATTTTGATCGAATTTTTGTGCTAGCCATAGGGTTCTGACCCTCTGTCTCGCAGCAGCTCTTCCGTGGGAACGAATTGGTAGCGGAGTGTCACTCATTTCTGTTAGGGTCGAGTTCCCCTAGTTGCATCTAGTCGAAATTCCGAGAAAAACGATGCTTCAAGCAGATACGCCAGACTTGCTATTTTGAGCAGGGTGACGGTAAAGGGTGATTTGAGCGCCCTTTTCCACTGATTCTCATCGTTACCGGTAGAGATATTGATTACTTTTACTAGTTAACAATCAGCTAATCTATCTGTAGCTATGAACCTTGAGAATGCCCCTCTAGGACGCTCTCTCCCACATGGATTGCGCAGTCATATACCCTGAAGGTTGGGGCTAGAGAGTTTTTCAGAGGTTAGTAGTGAATACGATCACCAAACGTGCCCTTGTGGCTGGAAGGTGCTGTCGGTGGTTTTTGTTTGCTTTTGAGATCCTTAAAATTTTCAGTCTAAGAGCACCGTTTTTGTTTTTCTTTGTTGAACCTGCCCCTTCAGGAACCCACAAAAATTTTTAT